TCTATCCACTCTCCACCAAGTCTGTTACTTATATTTGCAATATTTACTTCATCATTGAGCTTTATGTGGAAGAAACGGCCACATGGATGTATTTTTAAAATTCTGTTTTACCAGAGGTGAGAAACCTTTTAGAGTGGGAAACACTTGAAGAAACCATGCTTCATACCCTGTCCTTACATAACCCTGACACTCTGCATATCTGTCAATGAATTATTTCAGTCATCCCACTATCTGGTGTTGCTTCCTGCAACAGATATTGTTAGGAATTCTTTGTGGAATAAACTGCTGTCCATCTGTCAGGTCTGGAGCTCTAATCTTTCTCCTCAATGGCAACCACAGAGCAGCGGGGATCCCATGGATGGTGAAGATCCTTTTACTGATGCAGTACCTTGAAGGTAAATTGTCAGCTAGAAAGGGATTGGTTAGAAGAGGTCAGAAGGAAAGCAAGAAAAGGTAGTTTCCAAATGTGTGAGAGAGGAATTAATTCCTTACAGCTTGTTTCATGTCCCTTCCACCTTCAGGGAGCCTGGAGAAGTAAACCCCAGAGATCAGTTGGCATCCAGAAACTTGACGGGGAAGGAATTGAACTTGGGAAGTGTATTACTGTTTAGATACTATCCTAGGAAACGTTTATATTTGGTGTATAGAGAGCATGATATGAGTCTCCTGAGTATAGGTAAATTAAATTGCCTCTCTTCCTTTCCACCTGGCCCTAGAATTGCAGTGGATGCCACTGCTTCCTTGTGTTCCACATTTTCCGTGAGCAGTTTTACCACTCTCAGGTGTCCTGCATCAAACCTGAGGCTGAGCAAGACTTTTTCCTGGTTGTATGTGGACTCAGAGCCTTTGCATCACCAGGCTCTTGAACTGGAAAAGCTTTTGGGTAAGGCTGGGAGATGCTGTCAAGCTTTTGAGAGACTAGACCTTTCACAGAATCACAGGATCACTAGGGTTGGAAAAGACCTATAAGATCATCCAGTCCAACCATCCATCCAACACTGCCATACCCACTATACCATGTCCTCAAGCACTACGTCCCATGTCACCAGCGATGGTGACTCCACCACTTCCCTGGACAGCTTGTTTGTGCACATTTGGCAAATGTGTTGTGGTAGAAGAAGTTGTCTCTCCCCTTCAGGGGAAAAAAACTGCGTACCTACTAGGGAGAAAATCTACGAATGGATAAAGCATTGGTCCTATATGAGTTCATCCTGCTAAATATGCAAGAAAGCTCCGGTGTTTGTAGATGAGTGCCTGTGTGCAAAGTAGGCTATTCTTACCACATCCTTCCCAACCTCTCCAAGGAATGAGCACAGTGGAGACTTTGAAGTTTCTCAGGTGCTTCTTTGCTCATGGAGCCAAGAAGGCATGGCCATTTTCTCCTGGGATTGAGAAACATGGATGCATTTTCCCGTGGCATTTCAGCTCTCCAGTTACAGCAGGAAGACAGGCATCCCACCCTGCAGCAGAGAGCAGCTCGAGCCCCCAGGACATCTGGCCAGCTCCAGCAACCAGGAGGTCAATCTAATATTTCCAGGGTTATGCCTGTCTGTACTTGTTTTTGTTTTCTGGCAATGTGGGATTAGTATTCCAAGAGAGGGAAAGACAATTCTTGTGGTGTGGGTTTGTTTTTTTTTTTTAGTTTTGGTTTGTTTGTTTGTTTGTTTTTAATTTCAAAACACCTGAGAGGTGTTTGAATATCATGGTGGACAATGGGAATCCTAATCCACTACTTCTCAAACCTGCTTCTTTTGTGAGCCAGGGAGGACACAAAAGTTGGAAAGCTGTTCCCTTTGGGAAAGCATCCCAGCCCATGCTGAAGTTTCTCCTCTATTTGTGAGCTATATAGGAAGCACACTGTGATTTTGGGGAGGCAGCAGTAGGTACTTTGAAGGGCCAGGACATGCATGGGAACTGAAAGCAAGCCAGGAACAGGGCTTGTAACTCCAGCAGTAAATGCACACAAGATCTTTGGGTACCTACACCTCTATTCAGAAACATATTTGTCTGTCTGTAACACATACAGGAGTTATTCAATCCCAGAGGGAAATGTCAGAAGAAAAAAAACCACATTAGACAACAGAGCATAAAAGTTTGGGGTTTTTTTAATTGTTAAGTGAAATTGATAAAGTGCAAATAAAACAATATAAAAATGCAGGGCGTGAAAGTGCAGTCTGTGAGTTTACCACTTTAATTAGCTAGATGATTAAAATTGGTTTGGAACACCAAAACAACCAGATGTGAATTCTTTTGTCCTTTTGAAGAGCTTTCTTCAAGTGTTTCTTGACCTTCTCCCTGTGGGAAAGAAGCACAAACATAGCGACTGTACTGGATATGGATATGGATGACGCAGACAACTAGGTTTTATTCCTAGTGTTCCTCTAGCATGTCCTGAGGAAGGTGGTGCCTAAAGAAAAGCAACCCTGGCAAAGTTTATCCCGTGGGGTCAGTTCTGGTTTTGCTCCACTCCTACTGCTGAGTAGTTTCTGCCTTCACTGAACCGTCCCATTGACTTGGTAAGTGGCAGAGTACCTCTCATTTCCCTGCCAGTAGCCCCATTCACTGAAACAGCTCATTTGCAGAGCAAGGTTCACAGGATGTGTTTGGCAATACGTAGGTGTGCGGGAAGGCAGTGTGCCAGGCTGCTGCACTGCTGCTCTGTCCCCTCTTGGTTGTAGTGGGGACACACTACAGAAGGAACACAGGGGACAGATTATACAGGAATGTGTTTTTCCCAGGATTGTTCCCCTTCTTTCTTTTTGGTAATATGATGAGGCCTTTGCAATCAGGCAGAGTAGTGAAGCCTGTAAGTTTTATTTTGAAAATCAAATCTCTATCATGAATTTACCGTATAACTTCTGAATTCCTCGCTTATCATCCTCTGAAAGTCTGAAGTTTGCTGGGTTCACATATGAGTAGATAGGGTACATCAGAGCTTCAGGGACATTTGAATGAGCGAGTCCCAAAGAATGGCCAAATTCATGAGCAGCAACAAGGAACAAATTCACTTCTGCAGCACAACAGCATAGAAAAGCATGTTAAAGGTATGGCATTTCTTTTTTAGCATACAAAGAATCGAAGTAGCAGAAGAATTTCTCATTTTCATTCCCTTGGAATGAAACCTTGGAATTTTGATCAGTTATTACAACTTAGGTAACTCTAATATGTTAATAAAAACATGATTGATTCCTTGCATATGCATCTAGATACCTTAAGCCTCTTTCCAACTCCAATTTTAGTCAGCGTATTCCTACAACCAAGTCATTTTACGTTTTCATCATTTATGTAGAAAACAGAGGCTCAGAGTCCTTGTTTAGCATGTGAAAAGTGCTTTAAAATATGGGCAGAACAGACATTATGTAGCTGCTAATGATAATGAAGAAGCACAGGTACTTAGAAAGGTAGTTGAAAAGAACCAAAATGTTGTCTCTGAAATGGTACCGAGGCATGATGTGTATTTCCTATTGCTCTTTTCTTCTAACATGTACAATATTTGCCTTTATCCTTCATAAACACATATGGGTTTTACCTCGATTGGTCTCAGACCACCTTTCATCATCATCAAAATGTGCGTCTCCACCAATCCCTTCTCCAGGTGCAAATGCATGAGCTAGTGTGTTACCTCTTCCATCAAAGGGATATCCATCACCATGATCTGCATTTGAACAGAAATGAATATATTCAGATGGAATCAGCTGTAATGTTTAAATTCAGGAAATTGAAGCACTGCTTGTTTGTACTAGTTATGTTCATTACTAATCCTTAAAAAAAAAAGTCCTACGATATCAGCAAGGTTTTAAAATAGGACCAAGGCTTAGTAAACACTCTCAAAATTCATTACTTAAGTTTAAAAGTTGTATTTGATAATTCAGGCTGCTGCATGTTTCAGAGGGAGCTGGACCTTTTTCTGAGCCTTTGTCAGATATGTGGTTCTGAGGCAGCAATCGGATTATTTCAGAAGACATAACGCTTGACAATATCATAAGCAGCTGAATGTCTTCAGTGTTGGGAAGTGCTGGGCAGCATTAGTTGTAGATGTTCTCACTTGTAGCGATTTTAGTGGAAGACAATGATTTGGGATAGATAACCATGTTCCTGAAGAGCTAAGCTCATTTGTCCCCAGTCTTGAGGTACTGTCTATTGCCTGCTTCTGTCACAGTGCATGTGGAATGTTATCGTTTCCTAACTTAACTGCAAGAGCTGACAGGATGTTGTATTTGTACCAGCTCTGAAAATTTCCCCCTACCCCTTAGTGAGCCTCCAACTTGACTAGGAATATCTAGGGAATCAAATGCTGTTCTGCGTCCTTTCCCCTAGACCATGTGGGTGGGTCTTGGGGCAGGGCTGACAGGCAGAAGAGACCTAGTCCTAGTGCAAGACGAGGGGTTGAAACCCATTCCAGCTTGCAGGGTCCTTTCTCACTTTGACTGGCACATTAGTTGACTCTTCCTGGCAACATAATATGCTTCCCAGCAGTGAAACATGAGCTGGGATGTACATTTTGGTGTTTATATACAGTCATCTACTTGTAAGCCAGGTGTCTGACCTTCAGTTATAGTCTATGGAGCTGTAGGAAGTATTGTCAATGGATCTAGCGAACAAGTCAGCTAACCTTAAAGTAGGCATTTAGTTTGGCTATGCTGAGTCAGTTTGGGTGCCAGGCACAAGCTGAAGGCATGGCTACATTCATGTCTTGGTCTGGATCACAAGTGAGCTTCTGAGGTGACTCTGCTGGTCATCCACATTTACCATGCTGTGGCTGGCACCTTGGTGCAACCTTGGAGTGCACCGATAGTTCTTCTAGAAGAAAATCAGCCAGAAGATACTCTCTATGGCCAAACCTAATGCACCCCAGCTGCCAAAGACTGTTTAGTCCAGGGGAACAGACTAGATTTAGACCAAAGTAAATCTGTCTGAACCTGCCTGAATCCAGCCTGTGGAGGCTGTATCTTCAGAACCAGCTGTTTTTCTCTACAGATGTGTTCCCATTACTTTTCACTATATGTCTTGGCAGACAGAGCCTTGGACATCTAAATTTAGGTGTCTCATTCTGGAGCTGATTTCTATCTCAATTTCAAAGCTGTAGCTCTGAAAGGATTTTCTAACGGTTTCATAGGAGTAAAAATGAATCATCATATAAATTTAGTAGCATGATAAAGAGAAGATAAAATTTATGCCAACTTCAGAAGAATTCCAAACTATTTGTTCTTTCTGAGAGCAGTGGCTATAAAAATACATGCTTTGAGTTAAATATGGACCATTGCATTTAAAAAAAATGATAGGTATTCTCACCACGACGTTCAAATCTAATCATAATGTCTGCCTCTCCAGTGTGTATTCTTTGGAACTGCAGTGGAGTCACATCACTCCATACCATAAAAGCCCTTCTAATTGCATCATCCACTTTCCTTTGGGGTAGATCAGGTGTATAGCTGACAATTCTGGCAACAAAAGGAAGCAGATTAATGTCATTTAGGGTGTGGAGGAAACCCACATAGTTAAAAACGAAGTGACCCCCATGAAATCTGAAAGATCACTAACCTGTAAGTCAAATATCTCTTTTTCCATCTTGGAATTCCAGGAAATACTCTGTAATCTGCTATATCAGGGAGTCCACATCGGGGCTTTTCCATTGTTTTTTCTGTTTCATCATTTAATTTTCCAGTTACAGTCAGGTGGAAAAACCTTTGCATTTCTTTAATCCTGTCTTCTAAGCTCAAGCTTTGTGTTTTTGTATAAATTGGGAAGAATTTATCAAGATATTCCTGGAAGAAGAAAAGGCAAATTAAAATTAATACATATATTTGTGATGTTTTGCTAAATGCATTTTACATTTGATTGAATTGTTTCATCATCCTGCAGCCTTGGCTGGTTTTAGGTATATTTTTTCTTCCCATTTCAGTTTAGCAAATGCAATTCTCTTTGTAGCAGAGTTTGTCATATATAGAAAGAATTGCAATAGCACTGAAATACTGTAAGCAAGCAATCCTTTTAAGTAAACACAATTTACTGAGCATTCAACTCCACAGCCTTTCAATGCAGTCTACATAATATTTTTGAGATATTTTAAAAATTACATGCTCCCATTTATTTACGAGTTGAAACTTGGGCTCCTCTGTAAGTTAGACATAGGGTGTCTAGCTAGTTTAAATTGATTTATGTCACCTCTGCAAAAAAATGCTGTGGTAATGTAAGATAAGAAGATAATATAAACAGATAGGAAAGGAATGTAGAAGCTGAATCAAAAATCAGGTTATTCATAATGCAGTTACGTTGTCCCCCTGGTAACATACCTTTATATTTACAAAGTTTGTGATGCTCTGTGGTTCTGGTCGAAGTTGTGCTGGAAAACCGAGACTCTCAGGTAGGAGGATGACAGCACAAAGTAGGAGGTATTGCATAGTGCCCAGCTTGCCAAGGAGCCTTGCTACAGCAGAAAGAATTTGACCCTCTGTCTCACAAGACGACAGCTAAAGTGCTTATATAGACCCTGATAGCTCCAAGCGTCAATTACATACGTGACTCACTTTTTTGTGGTGTTAATGTAATCTCATCACTATTCAAAAAAGTAAATGAAAGCATGTTAAACAAATCCTTTCTTTGACTTCCCTGTTGATGTCATGCCACAGCTAGCAGCCAGCTTTGGCTGTCTCTTTTCATATTATTCCAGTAGTGAAACCACAGTGTCATAGGGAAGTTCATTCTCTGTAACTTCATGAGTACAGTTACTGTATAATCACTTCTTCTCCCAGGTTCCTTGTACATAAGAGCATTTTGCAACAGGTTTTGGTCAGCCAGCCAGCCTGTATTAGCTGATGCAGAGGCAGAGATGAGGTGGATGGGAGCCGTATCTCTGAAACTGCTGGCATTTCCTAGGGAGCGTGCACAACACTGCCTAGGTAATTTTTCTGTTTCAAATTCTCTTCTGAGGTATCCTATGCTGCAGGAAACCCAGGTCAGTGAAGTTAAAGAGGTTTCTGCTGTTTATACAGAGGTAGGAAGAGAGCTCTTTAAATGTGCCCTATAGAAATAGGAGGCCGTGGGAAACCTTTGTCCCATTCCTCCCAGTGACCTTTCAGGAAAGTTTCTTTACAGTGGGGAACTAGATATAAAATGTTATGTACAAGAATGGGTGAATGCTGACAGGAAAAAAGAGAGAAGCTTACCCTGATAAATGTGCATCTATCTTCTACCTCCAGCTGTGCAATACGACAGAGGTCCATGAAGCACTGGCAGAGAAAACCAAAGCTGAGCAGGGAAGCCACAACCTCCCTGTTTCCCTGATACCAACACTGGTCTCAGCTTCACTCCACCAAACCCCACTGGAAGTGATAGTTTTTGAGGACTGGAAACAACAGTCTACAGGTTGGTTTGCAGTTTTTTTTAGGCTGTGCAATTTTCTGACCATATGACCTCTAATCGAAAAGGAAAAGCTCATAAATGGAAAAAGACCATTACTGTTTCTCACAGTAGGACAGCTTGTCTGAGTATAGCTGAACATGTATGGAAGAATTTGTGGGTTACTAGCTTAAGTCCAACATAATTATGACTGATATGTCGAGAAAGACTGACTTCAGAGAGAGATGATCTGTACCAAAACACTCCTGAATTATGTAGGAGGACTGTGTTACACGGTAAAACTGTTGGTACAGGAATGGTGCTTCCGCCTGATGTTGAAAACAGCCCAGATATCCACCATGTGACCATTTCTGAACATTTTGGTAGGCTTACAGGAAATACATCAATTTCCAAATTTTAAAGACTGATAAAAAAATGCTGTTTTATTGTTAGGAGCAGGTTCATCCTTTTTTTTCTTTAACAACTGACTCTGTGTCTGACTGTGCCACTAAGCAGGATCTGGACCAGGGTCTGGTGGCAGGAGATGAGGATGTGTTTAAACTGCTTTGAACTCCGTGACTCTAGCGTGTGGTACTGATTATTTCCTCATATACTCAAGAGGAAATTGAAAGCCTCCAGAGCCCCATTCCAGTCTGTCCCCCTCAGTTGACAGGCTACTGCACAGCTCACATGCATCTTTAACTAGGCCATGGGCAAAACTGGAACCAGAGTTTAAACACAAGAGTTTGCTGAGGAAGCACAGGCATCATGTTTCATTGTATTTTCTGGTGGGAATTTGTCAAGTCCCCTCCATTTTCTTTAAAAAAAAAAAAAAAAAGAGAGAGCATTTCAATGATCACTGAGCTTGA